CTGGCCCAGTGTGAGCTGTATATTGATTTTTGGCTAACACGTTACTCTCACACTCCATTGCAGTTCCTGCTGAAGAAGGCGAGGAAGCAGCAGAAGCAGGATGCACAGCAGTGCTGGCGGGGCGGCAGGGGGTGGCAACTACGAGGACGTGGCCGCCGCCCGCCGTGGCCGCTTCCGCGTCACCTCCTCCACGCCACAGGGTCCGCCCGAAACGACGCTTGGCCGCTTCCGTCTAATGCCCACATGTAAGTTGCTGCCACTCGTATGATACCTTGTAATCCTAGTGTTAAAAAAAAGGAGGAAACATGACTGCGATATTGCTGCAAAATTAATTGCTCATACGCACTGTGGACTCTTTTAATTTACAAGCAGTTCGTTAAGCAAACATAAAGTATCAATAGCCGTTGTTCCTGAAAATATTTCCAAAATGAGGTAGCCGCATCAAATTAAAGCCCTATCGTTTAATGTAATTATAATAATGTAATCATTTGAATTCCATATACCAACTTGATACTTGGTATCTTAACGTCGGGGTTCCCGATTTAAAATAATTGGTGCTAATTTGTGACGTTTTTTTAACCCATTGCAGCCAATTATGGCGCCATTTCGCCCATCCTTCAGCGGGGTCGATTCGCCGTGATTCCCGAAGAGCCCCAAGCTGGCTCCCCCGCACTGGGAACTCCGCCGCCGGGCAGCCGAACAGCACGTTCTCCATCGCCCGAATGGGACTTCGACATCGAGCAGGTGAGTGCCGACTGTGTGTTATGGTTTATGGCTTATGTTTTTGGGTCTCGATGGCAAATATTTCGACTTCTTTACCTCCGAGAAAGTACAATTTTATAAAATGTACTAAGCTTGATTCTTTAAATAGCATTTATTTTGTATGTCTCACACTTAACTTGTTATGGCCTCTTATTCGTGGCCATTGGTAACCATGGATTTGTTAAAGACCTTAAGGATCGAGTGATTTTGAAACTCAAGGAGTTGGAGGCGGAAAAGCGAGTGGCTCCGATTTCGCCTACCTTGCTGTTTTTGGTTTCTTCATTGTGTTCCTCGGTGGCCTCAATGCAATGCGCCATTTTTATTGATTTTGCTGGCTTAGCTGAAGTTGCAAAAGAGTTTTTTGTGTGGGCCCACAAAGTGTGAACGTCATACCAAGGCAACTAATTCTGATTATTTATGGCTCGTAAATTCTACTTTTAGCACTGTGATGCAAATGTATTTCGTGTCCCTTTTTTGCTCTTTAATCAAGGGTTATGTAATTTAAACACAATTGGTTTGCAAATAAGTCTGTTTAATTTTATGAGGACTTCTGATTGTTCTTTACAAAAAATACGTCAGTGAAAAAAACTCAGTTGCAAGAATAATTATATACATAAGTCTACCACAAAGACAATGCTAAAAAAGTGTAATATATTATTGTTAATCGGTGTGTATACTTTGCATTGGATAAATTGTTTTTTAAATATTTTTGACAAAAATAAAAACCATTCATAAAAATATATTTTTAACAACTTAAAGCCTATTTAAATTGATTTTATGTAGATACTCTCTTCTTTTGTTAAATGCCTAAATTAATAATTAGATTTTAAGCGTAACCGCTTTTTTAATTAAAATTGTTAACATTTTTACTTAGCCGAGTTTGCCGCCACACTGGCGTTGCCATATCTTTCGCTTAGCGGAGACATGCTCCACACCCGGTCTGACAACATTTTTGATGGCTTAAATACTAAAACAATATGGGGCTAACGCGTCATTAAAAAAGACTAAGACAACGTTGCGACTGCGGTCACTTTGTTTCCAACGAGAATTTTGTTTTGTCGGTTTTGTTGTTGCCAAGTCTTCGTTTTTCGCTCAACAATTTTTTCGCCTGCGCCTGCGAAATACACTCGCGATCAGTGCGTGTAATTGTGTCAGCAGTTTTTAATTGAATGTAAAAAAAATGATCGATTTGAAATCAGGATAGCATTGCGAACAAGTGGGTGCTCAACAATAATTAATTTTTGTGATAAGCTGCGTACAAAGCTTTTAATTGTGCGCGAATGGATTACTGAAATTTCAGCGACAAGAGCTACAACAACACCGCGATATAACAATAGATCTTTGTTAATTCGAGTGCGCAAATGAATTGCGAAACTTCCTTGTTTCATAAATGAAAACCATAATCACTTTGGCTACATCTGGATGTACATATAAAAAATCAATAATCCGCGATCAGCTGTTACGCACACAAACAAACACATGGCGTCGCCTGCTGGAAATTTTCCACGAACAAATACCTTTATATACCCCGATTGTCTGTCCTTTTTTTATTGTTGTTTTTTTTTTGCGTTTTTCTTGTAACAATAGAATAGATTCTTAATTAAAAATAACAAAAAAATCAAGTCGATAATTGAGAGAGTGACGTAGCCAGCAGAGAATGTCCAACATCCTGCTCTCCTCCTCTTCCCCTTTCCGTTGTCCGATCAGCTTTGGTGCGTGTTCCAATTGGAAAGTCGAGTCCAAAGTGGAAGCGCGCGCCAGAATAATTGTTCTTTTTTTCTTTTTATTGCGCTCTCGAATTATTTTTTTTTATTATTATCGATTTGGTTCTTATTGCTGCTGTTTTCGTGTTTGTGATTTATTTGGTGTTGAACAAAATGGCTGATAATTAGCCGAGTGAAATGAGTGTAATCTAATCTGAAAAGTCAACACCTCCAAAGTGTTTGGACATCCAGCGAAAATAGTTATTACAATTTCGCTCTAATCTCTCTATATATAATATGCCAACACAGCCAGCTAATTCGTTACGTTACTTCTTATTTACAATATTTTTGTAGCGCAGCTAAATGCTTAATCGCGAAATTGTTTACAAAAATTTTGTTTTTAACCCGTTCATGTGTCCGTGAACGTGAATACGGATGTGTATGTGTATGTGTATGTGTGTCTATGTACGTGAGCGTGTTAAATTAATTTTTTAACCAGAGAATCGGCAACGATCGCGGTTCTGCAATCGATTCAACAACACATCCAAACACTGATTAATAAACACAAAGGTGGGTGCCAGTTTTTCTTTTTTAATTACCAAAATTGTATTTAATTTTCTGCCTTAACATTTCTTTTGTGTTGATATGAGCGCGTGACGTTTGATTTTTCCCCGTTTCTTCTTCTTCGTTTTGTATCTGTGACTAAGTTGAGTGGGTGGGAAATTCCCCCGTTTTGAACACTTTGGGAAACTACCCAAAATGTGGACATTATTTTCCGCCTTTTTTATTTTAATCTTTTTCGGAATACGGTTCTTGACTGATGGAAAACATATTGCGTATGCCAATTATTGAAATATTAAAAAAAATTTCTTTTCGAATATTCTTGTTTTTAAAAGAACTTTTTTTTTGGAAATTTTTGGATTTTTTTTCAGCTGTCCGGTTTTTGAGTTTATTTATTTTTTTTTTTTTTCTACAACACTCTAAAAAGGGTTTAATTTTATTTTACATTTTTTTTAAAATTTGGGCTAACACACTTAATTGAATTCCCAGCATTTTAAATAGATAGAGTTACCAAGCAGCTTTTTCCGAACTTTGATCTGCGGATATAGGTACTAGAAAACCCTGGCTATATGGTAATATTGAATGTTCGCATTTACAGTTGCCCGATCGGCACGAATTGTGTGCCAATTACTAGTAAACAAAAAATTGCACTGCCAATATACACAAACTTTATTCGATATTCGTGTACGAATGAATATCTCTGTATATTTATTTCTAATCACATGCACACGATACTATGGATCAGCAGTTCGCCCAGTGATCGTCATGTTCGTGGGATTGGGTTTGGTTCGCTTCCTTTCCAAGTGGCTGCATTGAAACTGAAACTGTTTGTTTATCTAAGCAATTAGTTAGCCATAAATTGTGAGCGAACGAATCGGAGGAATAAAGCATAAATAATTAAAACTTCTGGCAATAGCAGAGCCGAATAGTAGGCAAGAAATAAATGATTGAATTTTTAAACCATTCAATCGAATTCAATATTATTGTTTACTTTCGAGAAGTATTTGTTTTGTTATTGACTTTCCTGCCCGCTACGACTTTTTTCCACTTACGCAAGTTTTGTGAGCCCCTCAATCTTTGGTTGTTCCCGTAGTTTTTCCGTACATTTGTTGTTTGTTTGTTTGCCCGAGTTGAATGAACCTCTTCCAATGATTTTCAGAAGGAGAACACAAAGACCCGACTTTGCTTTGCTCGAAAATCAATATTTTTGTATAAATATTATGCTACGTATACGACACAGCAAAAAAAAATATTTACCAGATGTGCTCATGTTGCAAATTGCATTGGTTTTGTGGGTTGGAGATGGAAAACCGTTGAGATTAAGGGCATAAACAGCAAAAATTTATATTTTAAATTAGTAAAATGGTGATATGAACTCACCATCAAACATTCGTCTGAGAAAAAACAAGAAAGGAAAGCTAACTTCGGGCGGAGCCGAAGTTGATATACCCTTGCAGAATATTCTATAAATTATATTCTCCAAAATTATTCATATGATGCATTCTTAATACTTATAAAAAGTCCTAACTTCCTAACTTTAAAAACACCAAAGTTATGTCATTTCCAATCGTTCAGTTATATGGCAGCTATAAGATATAGTCGGCCGATCCTTATGAAATTTGGTAGGTCGGATTGATTAACCAAATATAAAATCCATAGAAGATCCCAGACTCCTAAGTTTCAAGCAGATAGCTTTAAAACTGAGGGACTAGTTTGCGTAGAAACGGACAGACGGACAGACGGACGGACAGGCGGACGGACAGACGGACATGGCTAGATCGACTCTCCTGGTGATGCTGATCAAGAATATATATACTTTATAGGGTCGGAAATGTCTCCTTCACTGCGTTGCAAACTTTTGACTGAAATTATAATACCCTCTGCAAGGGTATAAAAATACGCGAATTCTTCAGCTGAAATTAGTTGAAACTTTAAAGCCTAGTAATACAAAATTCAAAAAGAAACAAACTCATCTTAACAAAAGGCAAAGATAAATTTATTGATCACATCAAAAAGAGAATAAATTACATACATTTGAAACAAACAAATTAAAAATGGCCTAGACCGACAAGGTGACCTGACTCCAAACAGTTTTGTTAAGTATTTCGAAGGCCTGCATCTGTTCGTTCAGCTTGCCGAGTTGGCTGAGAATCAAATCGAACTTGGTCTCAAAGTGTTGCACCACCGCTTTGAGTTCCTGCCGCAGCTTTTCCACTTCGTTGGGATCAGAATTGCTTTGCTTTGGTGAGGACTCCACACTGGCCGAGATTTCCGATGAGGAGTCTAGAGGCTCCTTCTCGGACATGCGATACATGCAGGCTATTCCACGGATATACTCCCCCGGGAAATTCGGATCAATCTCGTCCACCGTATAGGTAATGTCATTGGGTCGGATGACAACATCCATTAGGGTTCGCAGACTAAAGCAGTTCCAGTTGTTGGCGTGTATAAAGAAGTGAGTTAACTGCGACAGCGTGGTAAAAGAGGAGATATCGATATCGGTGATATTATTGGCGGAAATGTCTAGTTTTTGCAGGTTTGGCATTCCCTGCAAGGCCTCCAGTGGCAGCTCCACTTGACCCGTGTTTCGCAGCACCAACATCTCCAGATGCGGCGTTTGCCAGCCGTGGGGCAACCGACCCAGATGCGGATTATCGGCCACATCCAGGTGACGCAACCTGGGCACCCGGCTCAGCGATGCCAACTGCATCAGCGAATTGTTGCGCAGCACCAAATGCTCAAGGGCCTCCGAGTCGGCAAAGTACAGCTCTCGCACGCGATTATCGCTCAGATCGACATTCGTCACCGAGCCGTACAAATTGACACGGTCCAGTGAACAATTGCGAACGGTCAGGTTGGTGGCATTAATATTCAGCAGTAGCACAACCAGTTGCGGGTTATGCGATAGATCCACATACTGCATCCGATGAGCACGCGGAAAGGCGTACTCGCCCACCTCTCGTAGTCTGTTGTTCTGAATTGACACTGATAATAGACCCGGTTTATGGGCAAATAGATCACTCTCAATGGTGGTCAGTTGGTTATCGTCCAGGCCCAAATACCGCAGACTTTTTAGATCGGAAAATACATCCTTCGGCAGTTCCACCAAGCGATTCTCCTTGAGGTCCAGATACTGCAACTCTTTCAGATCGACAAAAGCGTCTTTGTCAAGTTTGCTCAGATTGTTGCGATTGAGGAAGAGGAACTGCAGGTTGCCCGCTCCCCTGAAGGTTTTCGCGGGCACTTCATCGATTTGGTTGTCGGTGAGCAGGAGGACCACCAACTTGTCGGCACCAATGGAGAAGTTCTCCCAGTAAATGTATCGGATGCCACAGCGTCGCATATCCAACTCACTCACCTCCAGTGTGTAGAAGAGTCGCAGGGGAAAGTTCGTGAAGGTGCAGTTCTCAAAGATCAGGGTTCTAGGGGTCTCCTCGTCGCCCACTTCATAGGTGGTACCATCATCGGCAATCCGCACCTCTGTTGGCAAATCAAACGTGGCCCTTTCGTCGTCACCGTCAAACTTGAAGCCACTGCAGGTGGTAACCGCGCCCACACTTTGGCAATTGCCCTCCAGACTGGACACCAGCACGATTCTGGACGGACTGTCCTCATGGTCGGCCACTACGATGACCGCCAACGAGATCAGCAAACAGATCCAGAGCAACCGCAAACAATCCCGGACGTACATTTGGCGTGCTCAACGTTTCACGTTCGACCTGAAACTGATTCCAAACGATGACCGCCAAACGGCTCGCCAGATAAGCCCCTCCTATAATGCTCAAATAATGATCATCAGCTCTATATAATTTTCATTCTATTCATGGTGTTTTGATTTTGCACAAAAAAAATGGTTGATATTTATAGCTGGTACAGTTCGTTTCGGAATTTAAGTTCAAAGCATTTTCTGCAATCCTGATGATTATTGAAAGTTTTTTAAAAATATTGTTAAATAGGTATCATTTAAAAAACACTTTCTTTTTAATAAACAAATAAAAAATCCGAATCATAATTAGGTTCAGAGATCTCTTTTATTGTTAAATAAATTTTTTTAATACCTTAAATTTCTTCTAATTACTGGTGAAACCAATAAATAATAAAAACGTATTTTTTCCAAGTGACTAATAAGAATGAAAATGATGATGTCCAGTACTGTATGTGGAAAACGAAAAATTTGATTTATATTGCTGTCATCATTATTTTGACACATGTTTGTGGTTCCCCATTTATTATTCATTATTTTTCGCTGCTCTGTGAAGTTCCCGCTCTGATGCCTCCATTCAGTGTTTTGTCGAATCCTACGAAATTCGAACAAAACATTTGTTCCATTTCTGCCGAACAGTTTCAGCCAGTTCATATTTCCTTATCATGAAGTGTTTACTTGGCGATTTGCTGAACAAAAGGTGGAAATCTCTTGGCTGCTGATAATGGACATAAGACCAGACATTTGCCCAGTCTTGGCCATTGAAATACACCCTTGTGTAAGTGTATAAACACAGTGGCTCAATAACTTTTCCCATCTAATTAAGTGGAAAAATGGGCGCGTCGAAATATTTCTTAAAATATATTTTTATTACACATAACCCATTTCAAATTTTGTTGCTCGTAAATGTCATTTGTATTGCTATGGGGCTATATTTTTGTTTGAATATATAATTTTGCTGATTGTTGGCCAAGTGACTCATGGTTTATCAACTTGAAAATTATTGTTTTAGTGGAGAGCATTGTGAATTCGGTACGATAAGAGTACTGAACGTCCGATAACTGCTGTATGCCACGCTTGTCGTTGTGTTTTATTTTTAAACAATCGTTTGGCATGGATTCAACAGTGCTTAGCAAGAATGTATGTCGTCTTTTGCGCTTCTCTTACACGAAAACACCCATAAACTATATTAACCTAACACTTTCGCCCGGTCAGTGTTTACAAACTGGTGACATATTAATGGAAAAATATAAAATTTTAAACAATTTATTATCGAACAAGCCGAGAACACGTTCAACCTGCTTTCAGTCGCTCAATTTGTTATTTACAGCTTAGCGAGTGAAAACAAAAAGATTATGATGACGACCGAGTCAAGTAAAGCTTTATTAATTTGTATGCAAACAAATTTATTTGCTTGTTGAAATTTATAAAATTTATTTTCCATTCGTTTTTGGTGTGGATTTCATAGCTTAGGACTGGGCAAACAATTTGAAATGAGGGAAGGTAATTGCTCCACTTATGCATATATCACAATTGATCTGCCTATTTGCATTGGGGCTAATTATAAGCCAATGGTTTCTAAATTATTTGATACAAGACTGATTTTGTTGTTGCCAAGGCATTTACCATATCTATAGTTGTTGTGGCTCAATTGAAACGGCATGACTTCGTTTAGCGATAAATTTTGTCGTCTGTGCCCGCTTTGTTCAATTCAATTTGCCGCAATTACTTTGCATACAAGCCTCGAGAAAAAGAGTGAGAATTACCAGCGTTCAAGAGACTTTGTCCCCTTTCGTCTGCACTTTATTCAAATCAAATTTCGCCCAATAGTTTAGCAGGGTAAACAAATACGATATATATATTAGTGAATATATAGCGGGCAATCACTACACGTAAAAACGTGGATCTTCTTTTGTGGGTGATTTTGTATGGCGCATTCGGTTTATGGCACTTGATTTATTTCATTACGTTTATTGGCCATTCAGGCGCTAAATGTTTAAGGTAATCAAAGGTTGTTTTAACTATTTGACTGCCCTGATGACGAAATCGGTAATAGATAGATGATATAACCAGAAAATGATTTAATTGTCGTTAGAAAATGGCAGTTTATTGCAAAGTGCTTCTGACATTTTTGAAGGCGGAAATTTTTTAAAAAGTTATGGAATGCACGAACTAAAAATAAAGACATTACTGTATTTGCTACTCAGCCTGAAAAGTTAACGATCGCTAGATTTTGACAGATGATACGTAATCTGATTTTGCAGGCTAATACATTATACATAATAGTGAAACTCATTAAACAATTTAACATTTTTAAATATTTTAAAGATGATGTAGAGTAAATAGAATAGTATTAAAAATGCTTACCATTTATAATAATAGTATAAAATCTGTTAGGAGTCTAGACCTTCACCCATAAACAGATGGGGAATCAAAAGCAACTACTGGTAGTCAGTTCTCATGTTTATCGGGGACCGGCCAGACCCAACGTAGCCCGACTTGGCATACTTTTGCCATGGGGAGTACACCATCTACAAACAGTGCCATATCAGCTGATACAACTGGGTCCCCATAAACAATTACTACGGCATTACGATCCGCTCGGAGAATCGAGAGAACGTGCTTATCGCCCGGGCATTATGTCAAATAGTCCAAATTATCGGCAGAGCTTGCGAGCGAAAACAAAATAAAAAACCCCACTGCCAATATTCATTGAGAGGAATCATAAAATTTTATTAGCCCAAAATCGAAGCGGGTTGTGAAGCGAATCGAAAAAAATAAATGCAAACAAAACAAGCAAACACTGAAGACCTGTTCGATTTGGGTAGGGTTGTTTTTGAAGGTTGTGTTCTGGTTTCGTATTAAAATGCTTATCCAAGCCAGTTGTACGATCAGTCTTCTTCTGCCGAGATGTTGATGCTAAACTATCTGAACTATATTTTGATCGCACTGATCGGTCTCGCGATCTGTGAGGCACAGGAAAAGCTCAAGGAAGTTGCAGTTCAAAGTCTGGATTGCCGTGAAAATACTTGTATGAATTTGAATTTCCCTAGTGCTTTAGAGATTGCCTACTTCTCAGAAAAGGTGACTACAAATTTGAGGGGCTACGAATCGCTCATTCTGCACAGCTCCCATTTGGCCAACTTGCCCAGAAAAGTTTTCGTAAACCTTCCACAAATTGTGGAATTCGATGTCTTGGAGTGTGAACTGCAACAAATTGAAAAAGAGTGCTTTGATGGTGCCGAGAACTTGAGAAGACTTAATCTGGGCGGAAATAAGTTAAGTGTTTTGAATAGTGACACCTTCGAACTGACCACACAATTAGAGGAGCTGAACTTATCGGACAATCAGCTAGAGGAACTTCCTGTCAAGATATTCCTGCCTCTTAAGAAGCTACAAAAGATCAACTTATCCAACAATCAGTTGAAGTCAATTTCCCAGTTTACCTTTTCACAACTGGGATCTCTAAAATCCATAAATCTGGACAGCAATGATCTAAAGGAACTGCCTAGTGAACTATTCAGAGATCAGCAAAAACATTTGTCAGAACTCTCAGCCAGAAGTAATCAACTAGAGGGAATTCCCTCAAATATATTTTCAGAAATAGAGCATCTATTTCTTTCGTTTAATGTTCAACTAAAAAATCTCCATTTAAGTTCAAATATTTATCAGCTGGAGGCCACCAATTGTGGCCTCGAATCAGTGAAGTTGGATGGACGAGTGATTGGTGTCCAACTGGAGGATAACCTCAGTCTGAAAGAGTTGAAAATATTCCAGCCTCAGGTTCTAAAGCAACTCTATCTGGCCAACACGAATCTGTCCCGGCTTGACTTTCTGTCCAAGGCCAGTGAACTAGTTGACCTGGATCTGACAGGCATTGAGAATCTCTCGGACTTACCTACAATTTCCTCAGCAAAGGGATTGGAAAGATTGAGCTTCACTTACGACAACATGACCTCTGACCACATGGACATGCTGCCTCAACTGAAGGATCTAAACTACTTGGAGATATCCCACGAAAAAGGCAGGGAGATTTATATAAAGGATCTGGATGAAGATTTTTTCGTGGACGAGGCAGAACTTGATTGTGGACAATTGGCGGATCTGTTGGAATTTGTTGAACTGCCCAAAGATACAACCATCTTGGAGGATCGATTAGTTGGAGATCCTCGACTGCCACTTAGATGTGGAGCCGCATAAAATATAATACTCATAAAAGGAATTTAATATTTAAAATAAAAATAAATTATTAAGCTTTTTATGGAAATGTATTTATATTTGTGGAAACCAAAGAAGTCATGTGAAACCAATCAGACAAACAAGTTAAAACCCAAATCATGTTCCACTTTAATGTGTTAAAAGATTATTGTCTAAATGCCTTTTAATTGTGATATTTTTTACTGTAAATTAATTAACTTAGAGCGCATTGACTTCTGCATATCCTTAAGGGAACAATCAGACTTTCCTTGTAAAGAGTTTCCCAAATTACAAAGCTGTTTATGAGTCAATTCCAAACCATTTATCTTCGTTATACATTATTGAAATGAGTACATTTAGCTTTCTGTTTACAAATCATTTATCAATGCCTTACAAATAACAGCCTGTTTCCGCAATAATTTTCTTTTTTGCAAACATTGCAACCATTGTTAAAAAGCGATTTGTCAATTCACAGACTGATGCGTTCGCAGATCTCCAAGTGCGATTGCTGGTCTTGCGTTTTTCGCTGCTAGACTAGATTTCACTGATCTCCGTTGATTGGTGTCAGTAGAGCGCACAGATCTTGTCATCTGCGATCAACGATCATCGATTAGCGATCACTCGACTGGCCACCGACCAGTTTGCCAGACGATTGTGTTTTTATCTGTCTCAATTTATTAGCTCATGTTGGACTACAGGTGCATGGACTACGACTACGGTGAAGAGATCGCCTTTTAGGCATTAGAAGCGCTCTCTTTGCTGCATTTTGAGATTGTTAAGATTGTTGAGATCGATGGGATTGGAGGGATTACTAGGATTGGTGCCTGGAATTAGCGTATTGCCCCCCTGAATTGGTTGCAAAGTGTTGGTCGGTTGCCTTGGTTTAGTCGGAGGCAGGGGCTCCTTTGTACTGCTCACAGCATCCACCTTGTTGTTCTCCTTCAAGATATTGGTAATGTCCAGACTGTCCGATTTGTGGTAGAAAAGATAGGCAGAAAACATCAGGCCAACTAGGGAGAATGTGATTAGGGACCAGCGCAGGACAGAGTTGATTTTAAGGCCCCTGAAATTAAATTAATTATGAGAAATGAAAAACTATATTTGGATTAATGCCCTAAAAACTCACAAAAACAGGGTGAACTTGACCAAATTGGTGTAGGTCTTGTTGAGCTGCACACCCTCTTCCACCCAAAATAGGGGCAATATCAGCTTGGGCAAATTCTTCATCGGCTCAATGCCCTCCACTGGTTCCATGTCCAGGTTGAACTGCAGTCGCTTGGCAGCCTGAAAGGGTGTTCCAGACATCTGAAAGTAATGCAAATTATAAAGATATTTTTATACACAAAACAAAGTTGTTCCCTTACAAGTTCAAAGTCTATGTAGACCGCATGATCCTTTTCGTTGGGATTGAGGCCATCCACATCGGCCAGCAGCTTTGGATCGGCCAGATAGAAATGTGGCATGGAGGCCATCAAAGGACCTCCAACGCAGGCAGCCAGATTCATGGTTCCCTTGGGCGGACACGTGTCCAGATCCTCGGGATCTTCGCAAAAGCAATGCAGCTTTTCGTCAGCACGTATATCACCAAGGTCCAGGGTATATCTCATGGATGGCATTCCATGATACGAGGACTTTCGCTGGTAATAGGCTCCCAAGGATCGACACAAGTCCGGTGTGAAGGCCCACAAACCATCCTCCTTTTTCAAACCCGGTGCAAATACTGTGGAATCAGTGCCCACATATGTATTGCACTCGCCATCCGGCCAAATGGATTGCTCCGGTTCGTCATCGAATTTCACGACCTTTCCCAGCTTTTTGTTATTCTTCACTCCACGACATACTGTAAATCGTCCAGCATCCGAGTGATTGGCCTACGATATAGAAATAATATATGCAAATTAGAGACTTATTGAATTTAAAAAAGATACCCACCTGTCCCATGAAGGAGAACAGAAAGTGCGTCTGATTGACTTGTTTGGCCTGTTTAACTTCTCCCGTATAGAAGACCGTGCAGAGTGCCTTGGCCGAAAACTCTTCCGAGGAGCAGTCCACGTCGATTCCCCGGAAAAACAGGTCCATGAACTTGGCCTTCAAAAAGGCCTTGGCATCTGGGAAAACTATGCTTAAACCTTTGGAAACCAGCTCCATCATGGCAGCCTTTTCCCTTTGAACCGAAATGCCGCCAGGCTGTGAAAAATTATTAGAGAGATACAAAACTCGCCTCCGATAAATCATCAACTAATTGCGCTTTTAATTTGGCAAAACACAAAAGATGCTTTTTCCACCCACACACACACACACACTGCAATCTATTTTTTCACATTTGATGAGTTAATTTTGTGGCTGCTATTTTGGGAATGGGAATGTGATTTGCATAATTCACATGGCTAACAATAATGCCACGTGGTCATTAGTGGGCGCCTTAAATGCAATTCCCAATGCGCTGACAGAATCTGTAATGTTCTGACCATTGTTATTGCTATTAAATTTGTTATGTGGCAGATTTGACTTTTAAATTAACCGAAAATACTTTAGTATTTAATACTTCTAACGTGTATTGAATACGCTTATTATTTGTTTAAAATACAAGATATAAGTGGCGTGTGGGTATAAAAAAAGGAAACATTACTTTACGAAAATGAATTTAAAGGTTATAATATATCCTAAGAAATTTTGATTTAATAGTTTTAAATGCATTAAAACTGATCCGAAAACAATGTTTAAAATTACATCATCAAATTAAATATTGCCTTTGTAAAGAGTTTTCCTGAATTTTCTTTACCCTTACCTGAATTATGGGATGTGGAAGGATGATCTCCTCTTCGCCCGTCAGTGGAAGCGAATCCTTCTTGTTGAATATGAAAGTATTGCGCATGTTGAAGCTAACCGTGTCTTCCACGACATCATCCTCCAAATCATACTTGTCCTTCCACTCACTTAAATAAATATATTCAAGGGAGAATCAAAAATCAAATTAAATAACATAAGTGAAAGTCTAAGCATTAAAAACCCACTCGAACACAAAAGGACCGACTTCCTGCAGTCGGGGCTTAGCTCCTTCGGAAACCTCATCGGGATTGGTGACGTTGAATACATAGATATAGAAGTGCAGGGGGAATGGAGTGTTTGACCACAGTTCTCGTACATCCGATCCCGGCTTCAGAGTGACTTGCTATTGCCAGAAAGACGCAATTAGATCAGGTGCAGAGAAAACGATCGATGGTCGCACCTTTGAAATCATAAGCTTGAGAATTTTTGGGAAGATGACCCAGCCATAGATGATGGCGAAGACGAACATGGCTGCCGAGCCCATCAAGAGCTTCACCCGAGGTACCTGCATCCCTGGGCTCTTGTGTGTTTTCCTTTTCGGATCCTGGAAAATCCTATTTAATCCGCTTGCCTTCTTCGAGCAGAAGACCTAAGGCTTTCACAGTCGCGACGCAACTGAATTGTCTCGACTTGGGAGTTCGTATTCCCTCACATTCGGACGGGAACGTGCGAATATTATTCGCTCACTGCGTGTGAGGTTTGCGGCTGTCAGGGGGCAGGCCGGATAGCAAAACAATCGGATAATGCCGTGGCATTACTTATAAAATCAATAATTGCATGTATTTGAGTATTATAAATTGAGAGAATGCTCTACGCAGATTCGGCCATAGTCGGGCAGTCGAATGCGGTTTAACTGGCTTTTGTTCTGGCCTCTGATCGTCACTTGATCATGCAGCCAGAAATCCGATTTAATGGTTCTCAGAGCCCAAAAACGAAATCCAGTTAAGCGATCTTGATGATCTGTGTTCGGGCTTACAAATGTGCCATTAATATTTGAGTGCCCTACTGTATCTTTATATCGATAATATTTAGTTGTCGATAAAAACTCATTAGTTTTAAATTTAATAAAATGTTTATATATAGCTTCTTAATCTCGCATTAGATAAGTTTTTGTTTTATAAACATTACAAAGCTTTTAATAATTTTCATTTTGTGTGGCCAACAGTAGATACATATGGAGTTATCTATCTATTCATTCTATTCTATACATAATTTGGATTTAATGGGAAACAGAATTACCTACACTCACCTACTTAAACGTTTTGCACTTGGACTTGGAAAAACTTATTTCTGTATTTCTGCAATTGAAATTTTTAAATGACTTCCACGACACCTGGCCTATATTCCATTGTTAGCTTTACTCCCATTTCCTTGGAAATTTCATATCTGTAATTGTGGCAATTACGTTGCCAATTTCAATGGGGAACCAATGCAAGTGTTGATGGATAATTAGGAGAAGGGTAAACGAGTTCCCCAAAGTTGTAGAGCATTTACCCTTCTTAATCATCCGTATTGATTTTTTGTATTTTAATATACCATTTATTTAAAATTAAATGCAATCATATTTTTTTTTTGCTTAAAACAGTTTGCCTAATGTTCTAAAATGAGTTTTCTTTTTATATTAATATATATGAACCAAATTAAATGTAAAATTAACTAGATGGTTTTCATATCCAAAGCATTCTTTTTCCATTATTTAAAAGACAAATTTAATGTCATAAGAATGTAGAGCAATATCCCTCAATTTCCTTCGTAATTACTTTACTGCATTTTCTCGGCAAAGTAGATAGATCATATCAGTTTAGATACTTTGCCACCTTGACCGGCTCTTCTACACCCCTTCAGTCTGCCGTTTGTTGACATAAACAGAAATCGAAACTGAAACCGAGTGCAAAACATAATGAATAACAATGGCAAACAAAAAGTAAAACAGAGAAAACAACTTAAAAAACTAAAACAATGGCAAAACCCAAACACGTGACACCACTGACGTCGCGTCGAGAAACATATATATTTATATCTCTATACAGAAAGACAGACAGGGCCTCTCCAAAATGACACAGAAAAACGAGTCGAGACGAGAGTGGAAAACGCAAATTGAAGTGCGCTTGACAACAGCAGCCGATCGGATGGATTCAGATACTGCCCCAGGTTTCTTCGTTTTTCTGCTGAGCAAATGGAAATTGAAAATGAAATGAAATGAAATGCCAGCGCAGCCAACAATTTGATTACGCTTTGAGCTCGAAGCATTGAGTAACCGGGCGAAAGAGGAAATTCTCAATTTCGATCGCAGCCAATTATTGCTGCACCGTTTAAATCGTTTAAAAATGCCGGGGCTTAAGATTGGAATTTACTTGTAACTCGGATTGCTGTACTTAAATTTTGGATTTTCTTTTTAGTTTCGAAGTGTACCAAAATATGTTCTATAGTTCGTAAAAATTTTTGTATTTTATGACCTACAAGTGTTTGCTAAGATATTATTTTCTGAAAGTGTAGTTTAAACTCTTAAAAAAAACAATATCTTTATGTATAGTATATCTTACACTAATTCTATTCAGTTTGTGTAATATGAAAATGTAACCTTTAATTGCTTGTCATAACTGCGGTCGTTGCTTGATTCATTATCAAACTGTCAAGCGGTCCAACAAAAGCGGTTCTCATGAAAAACCGCCTTTGTCGTTGAGATCAACTTAAATGAGTAATGGTAAAGAATAATTTGATTATCTGAATACATCTTGCTGACTTATCTCGTTGTTTTTGGGGTTTTTCCTTACTGATTTCTTTTTTTTAATAATAGAACGCCCACAACACTTTATAACTCCGCAAACATTTTGTAATTGGCGGCAATTTGAAAGTGGAAAAGTTTGCCAATTAGCAGGCAACTGAGAAATCCCACGATCCTCCACCCACTCGAATCCCAATGGCAATGCAACGCTAATATAATTTTCTAACGCACTAGAGTTCTTTGTTATGAGTTGGAGTTCCTATCTTGAGTAGGAAATGTCTTAAACCTTGTGAGAATCGCTTTCTAAACGCTTAAACCACTTGGTTCTCATTGCTGGCGATGATGGGAATATCAATTATGCGCTAGCTGACAGCGTTTAATGAATCGCTCGAAGTCAATGGAAAGCAAGTGACATTTGCACTATCAGCTATCGAAGCGACAAGTGTAAAGTGAATGTGAATCATTTGTTATGCGATCACGTGAGAGTGTCAACGGATTGATTGCATAAACCTCCAAAGAGCACAGTGACGATCATTCAATCACTCGTGGAAGTGCCTTGAGCAGCTGGCAATCCTACATCATTTAACAGCAATTACAACCCACTCATTGTGTGACACTCTGTTTATATATTCATACATTTGTTTGTGCACCAACCTAATATCAAGTGCCAAAGGCATCGAGCAAATGCATTTAGCATATTTATATATTTGCATTGCTACCGCGTATTTCAGCGATGTTTGGGGATATAATGTGAGGCAGCATCTAATATGAATGGAAATGGATAATCACTTTAAGACTTTTTAAAAATGCTTAAAAACAATATAGAGTTTAACATTTATAGGGAAAATAGGTTGTTTTACGTTGGTTAAAGGTACCAACAGAAAAACTGGTTTAACTCTAATGTGAAAGCACTTCCAGGGTATCAATGAGCTATTAAGCCACTGTATTTGTTGTATCTTAAACCATTTGTGGTATACCATTGAAAACCCAGTTTCAGATAAATTATTGCCGGCTCGTAATCTCTCAAAGTGCCTTATGTCATTTGGAACTGGGTAACCCCTCCGCAACTGCACCCAGTAAAGCTGGCATTTTATTATATTTGCTTCTCGTGCCATAGTTAATATGCCTAAATGAAACAGAAAATTGTTTGAATGCCAACTTTGCGTTTGCTTTTAATTATTGTCGTCGTTGCTGACGTTTCTTTGTTGCTAAAAGTTTGCTTGAGACATTTTTTTTGTTGCTAAAAGTTTGCTTGAGACATTTGTATCGCAAAAGCAAGTGATGGTTTGGCAGTGCGGTTTCTTCAATTAAACAATAATATCGATTACGTGACGAGAGTTCAATGCTTGAGTACAATATACAATTGATGTTTGATAACAAAGTGCAAACAATGCGTTAGAAATTCAAAATGGAAGTCGGGGGAAAATGTGGAGGAGAGTTACGTATTGTGCGTCTGAAATGGAGGGGCTTTTGGGGGCAATTAGTTTACAAAACTCTTAGAGAAAGAAACATATAAATTAAAATTAAGCAATATATATAAATACATCTACTACTTCAAGAAACCGCAAGTCACACCAGGGACGCCAGAGTGTCTGGCAAAGTCAACCGCAGATGCAAAGATACTCGGAAACAGCGGACAGAGATACATAGATACAATTGTCAGGCGGGGGTCAATCGGTGGCTATGGCTAATAATTAATAGATGCAAGTGATCAGCTGACTGCAATTGATTCATGGGTCGAGTTATGCAATTAAATGGGAAGGGAGGAGCTTTGGGGGTCGTGTAATTGCATGGCAGTATCCATTGGATACAGTGCACCAATGTCAGCGTTTTGGGATTGAGTCAGAAAAAAAAAACCGTGCCCGGGTAATTAATGCGAATTTTCTAGCTAAGCGAAATTCCACCGAAGCGAGCGTGAAAAGTATCCGAGTATCTTTAACGCAATAACTCGAAAGATACTTTGGGCGACCTTTTGGATTGAGTCACTCGAAACAATCCGCCCACCCACGTGCGTCATCGTTTGTCAGCCGAAGACCGCAAAATAAGCACTGACATTATTAGCATATGCACGGATACCAAATACATTTGTATCTAATTGCCATTAATTGCGGTTGGTATCTATTAGATGCGTACGCCATATGCTCGATTACACAACTTGCGGTTTGTCTTTGATGGGGTTTGTTTTGTTTTGGGTTGGGGTTGGGCCCACCCCGTTTTATCTACGCTCTCTGCCACTTGTTGCGCTAAAAGCGTGTGTGTAAATATGTTTTTATTTATTCCAGCCACATATTTAGGTTTGTTTTGTTATATACAAGTTTTTTCGTATGATTCAGGGTTTCGTTTTACAAAATAGTTTTAGATATTTTAAGTGAAATAGTAGAAATGTCGTTTCATTAACAACTGTTTAAGTTGTACTTGGTTCATTTCTGAGGCCTTCCATTTTATCCTTTTCCATTCATATTCATTTATATGGAATTAAAAGAATTTATAAAGAATTTTAATAAAGTTGCATAAATATTGTCATAAACTGACCCAAAAATTGTATAATTTTTTAAAAATATCAAATGAATTCAAACCTTTTTAAAATGTAATAAAGTTGTGAATCGTAAGTTTAATGGAAAGCAAATTTAATAATATTTCAATTTTCGTCCGTAATTTCGCATTTCGTCTGTTTGTTCCGTATATTTGAGTATAGTTGAGCACATGTTTGGCTGATTTCTGCTCTGTCAGTCCATCAGCTGCCATATGTCGAACACTGCTTCTCATCCAGCTTCTGTTTTTGCTTTTTATTTGTCCATTTGTTTAATTTCGCGTTCAACTTTTGTTTTTCCTTCGACAACAACCGCCGATGACGAAGCGTAAATAATGAA